TGTGGTGTGTGAAGTGTCTGTTGGCATTATAAGAATCTTTGGGCCACACACTGGGTGGGTGTCCAGAATTATGTTTTGCATTATGTTTGCATTTGTTTCGTGTTGCGGGTTTGCGTTTTTCTGGCCGATGTTATTTTTTTGTGTTCCGTGATTGCATTTTGTGTATCTTCGCGTTTTTTTTGTGTTCCGGGTTTGCCTGTTTTTGGAGTTTGCGTTTTTTTTGTGTTCCGTGTTTGCATTCTTTTGGCGTCTGCGTGTCGTCGGTGTTCTTGGTTTGTATGTGTCGGCAGTTCAGCTACAATGCTTGCATTCTGCCACGAATCTTCATTGCAGTCGCTAAGTGGCTCCGAAGATGAACCTGCATTTTGGCTGCATTCTCCGGCTGTCATCAAGCAATGCGGAGTTATCTCTGGTCGTTCCTGACTTGCTTTCTGTGTTCAGCCAATACGTCGTTCGACAGTGCTTCAAACCCAGGGAAGTCACAGCTGTGCATTTGCGCAACCAGTGCCATTGTCACTAGGTTCTAGGTTCGCTGCTGAGACACTATCTCACTAGGACACTAGGCCTGTAGGCAACTGCGGATCATGGGTTGGGCATCATCCAGTGACTCAGACTCGGGTGACGAAGCGGTGGCGGACGCGGATCGCATCCGATCGTCGCAATCGGATCCAGGTTCGTCGACTTCGTCCCCTTCTGTTGTTGCGACGAGAGGTGCCGTTTGGTGGGCAGCACACTTGCAGGCTGCTTGCAAGCAGATTGGGAGTAGAAGCCAGTACAAGCACCTGCCACGTCAACGAGTGGTCTCGAGCTGCACTGGATGCTCAGCAGAGAGCGCGGTCCTGAAAGTGCCTTGTCTTGTATGTAATTAGACTGAGACACCATGCGCTCCGATGTTGATGATGCCCAAACATGACTTAGTTCAGGCACTGGGCATACCTTTCTCAGTCGTCTCTGCGTCTGAAGTTCGGGCAGACTACAGGGCAGTGTTCCAGGCCAACAACTCCCCGGACTGCTTCGAACACATCTTCGATGATGTCAGGACACAGCTGGCTAGTGGCCCTTGTCTACTTCATCCCCAGTGTGCTAGTTGCGTCGCCCTGCCGACTGGAATCACCATCATGTTTACGGGTAGCCCATGCGACCCATTCAGCAAGCAGCGCTACAAACGATTTGCAGATGGCTCCGTAAAGAACCATGCCGACTTCCTCACAACATTCCGCGATGTAGTCGAGATGTACCAAAAGTGCCAGCCCATGATAGGCATTCTGGAACAGGTCCAAGGCTTTCTGTCTCCGATCTCTTGTACGGACCCAACCACCCCTTTCGATCAGTTGCTTGGATTGGAATTAGCTGCTGGCAAAGGGACAACGCTCGCCCTAAACCCTAACTTTCTTACATTCCGCCTACTGTTTAAGGACCCCTTGCTCTTGGTCACGTCTTCTTTGGGAGAGGAGGAGAGACAGGATGTGAGAGTGGGGGTGACACGGTGAGAGCAAGAAAGCGATTATATATTTGCGATTTTTCATAGCGATTATGTTGAGAATTCATAGNNGTATGGATTTCTCACCATATATTGATTGCTGCTCGCATGCCCTCTTTTGGGAACAAGGAATAAGAAAGCTTAGTTCCCCTCAGCCGTTGAAGTGACCCTCAGTTCCCTCCATTTTCCCATGCTTGGCTGATAGTGCTGATGTGTTGCAAGTGACATCCTCAATGCGCATTGCTGTTGCAACAAGCATGCAATATGAAGGCTTGCAGAGGGTGCCTGTGATATGAATTTGGAAGTGATTACACCATTACACTGCCGTCACTCTCATGACATGTTTGTGGAACCCGCCCAGGTTCATGTCATCTTTGCAGCGACAGCAGATGAGACACAAGTACTTTGTGGTCAAGCTCTCGCTGGACGCCTCAACGTGGTTGCAGATCTCTCGTCCCAGGTGCAAGGGGAGCGGTCGGATAGTTGTTGTAGTTAATTGTAGTTGTTGAGTTACAGTGTTACAGTTACAGCATGGCTTTCGTTGATGAGCAGTTGGGGTGGTTGTTTCGGTCCTAGCTGTCCTAGCTTTTGCGGTGCTGTGTCTGGGGGCGGAGTTCTCACGGAGTTGCGAGCTGTAAGCACTTCCTTGGCGAGCCGTTAGGGTTGTTGGCAGTTGTTGGGTCCGATTCCGGTCCGATGGCCTCGAGCTGTGCGTTGATTTGTAGCCGCTCAGCTTACGGTTGTTTCACATGCTACTGGGCTACTACAATTACAATTACATTGCACCACAGTCTTCTACGAGCTTCAGCTTCCACGCCATTATAACATGAGCGCAACTTCTAGTACTCAGCTGTAGCGGCCGGCCAAGTTGTTGTGTTCACCGGCTTCACTAGATCGTAGTTCGCTGACCTAGGAAAAGCATACATTTTGCAACATATGCCATGGGACGAGTCCAGCTCAAACTCGGATGACGGAGGCGCTGTTGCTTCTACAGCTGGGGCTCCTACAGCATCTGGCTGGGGTGATACAGGCGATCGTTCCGGTGAGGTTCAGGTCGCTCCGCCAACCATTGGTTCTGGTGCTCCCGACTTGCAGCGAGGCAGCAGGGGAGGCTGGGATGAATCCTCGGACGAGCCCGACGGGGGAGAGCTGCCAGAATTTACTCCCCGTTCAGCCCCGAAAGCTGGGCAGTCCGGACGGGGCAGACCGGCAGGTAGCTATGGAGATGCACAAGTGAGGGCCTACTTGCGTAATCGCAGACAGCAAGAGCAGGCATCGAACGCAGAGCAACCTCCTCGCGGCAGCATTGAGGCTGCCCGGCTCGCCTTGAGCCAGCAGCGGGAGCTAGGTGGCCAGAAAACGGATGGTTCTGGCACCATGTCTTTGCCTGACTTTGATTCTCGCCAGCTATGCAACCTGGCTGCTGCTGGCTTCTCCGTCCAGCGATGTGTCCTTGGAACCTTCAGAGAAGTTCAACGTCAAGGAGTTGGAGAGCCGGACTCATTGCTTGGTTTCTTCCTTCGCTGTCAATCTTTGACGGTGAGTGCCAAGGCCATGGGCGATATTTTCGGTTGTACACGGACCCACATTTGTCGCCTGCTGCTGAGTACGGCTTGCTGTGTCCTTCAAGGAGCGGCTTGGTTGTGGGGCTTCGCATTGTCTTTGCTGTCAAGACTGTGCCAGGGTGAAGATCCCGAATGGGATCCGGTGCTGTTTTTGGTCAAGACCATGTATGACGAGACTCCTAGCCGGGTCCGTGCGGTGTCCACAGCTGTGCAAACGTGGATGGCGCCGAATGCCAAGAAGTACCCCTCGGAGTATCTGTCAGAAGTCGACCTGCGTGAATATGAGAAGCTGGTGTCTACTGCAGAAACGGGCACCCACGCAAAGGTCCTGCAGACACGCTATATGGTGGGGATGCTGCTTCGCCACCGGGAGACAGGGGCATTCGGCTGGTTCCGTGGGGACGTACCCAGCAGCTTGCAGCTGCTGGACAGAACTACAGCAGAGAACATCCGAGCAGCAGTTTACGATACCATTACTGCCCCTTGTTTGCAATTTGTGCTTGAATGGAGGACTTCCACATGTAGCGCTGTGGGAATGCTTGCTAAAAAACTCAGGTTTTGCCAGAGCTGAACCGCATCAGTTCGCCATTCCGGCTCCGAGTGCGCCACACCGTTACGGACCGCTACACTGCTAACCGAAAGGCGGAGAAGGGTTTAGGCGAGGCAGATTTTACGCCAGGCTGGGTGCGCAATCACGGCCCTTGTGACATTCACAAAGCGGCGTCGGCAGTGAAGTGTGTGCTGAAGGCACTGGAGTGGGACGTCAGTGGTGTTCTGGCCACCGGCTTGGCTCTTTCGGAGATCGGAGCAGCCCGGAAACTCCGACAATGCCTGGCACAATGTTTCGAAGAGAGTCTGAATATCGATCCTCTCCCTTGCCCAAATGCTGATGAGGCAGCGTGGCATCGTCAGTGTGTCTATGACACATTTCTATCAATCGACAAGGCGGCAACACCGCAGGCTCGGAAGCAGAATCGATTACGACGCTTCGTGCTGGAAACGTTTCTCAACTCGGACCTTGTTGGTCCGGCTCCTTTGACGCACCACTGTTCAGCATATGGATGCTGCGCGTCGGAGCAGCACACTCGACAATACTTCAACGAGCAGCTGGGCTGAAACATGTTGCGAATAAGACGGTAGCTGTGTGTGTGTGTCTCTGGCTGCAAATACGAGTGTTTGACACTGTTGCGTGAGCGAAGTTTGTCTTGTGTTTTCGCATGTTTTGGTTTCGGTTGGGTGTCTCTGGAGCCTCGTCAACGGCTGCATTTGTCAGGTTTGTGTGCTGGGCACTGGTGCCCGTGAAGATGCCGGTCTACAGCAGGAAGGATTGGAGACAGTCCGCCGAAGCTGTGGACTGGGTTGGGATACTGGCAGCATATGGGTTGCTGGATAGAGTGTTGTACAAGTTTGCCGGCAAGCCACGGCCACCTCCAACAGCCCAGCACGAGTTTGCTTTGTCTGCACTGCAGGGCGATGTGAATAAGAACCAAATGCCCGTCGGAAACGCAGCAGAGGAAGAGCAGGACGAAGAGATGCACGAAGAGAAGGACGACAACAAGGATGGTGGAACTGCAGAGCCCCGTGCAGCAAAGGATGCATTCCAGGAGTCCAAACGGCGCAATCGGGTCAGCATGTTGACTTGGTGCATCAGCGACCCGTACCCACGCCTTGTCTTTTTGCGCGAGGTGCTGAGCTTCTCGGAATTTGGCCAATGTACCCTGTTTGTTTAAACATGTTTAAGTTTAGTTCTAACAATGTTCCGCTTAATTTGACACGTCGCACGGTACCAGCCAACCAACCAACCAACCAACCAACCAACCAACCAACCAACCAACCAACCAACCAACCAACCAACCAACCAACCCACCAACCCACCAACCCACCAACCAACCCACCAACCAACCAACCAACCAACCAACCAACCGACCGACCGACCGACCAACCAACCAACCAACCAACCAACCAACCAACCAACCAACCAACCAACCAACCAACCAACCAACCAACCAATATCAATCTCCATCCACTTGTGTCTGTTTATAGCTATCCACATATGCCTATCTTTTTGTTGTCTATGTCTATCACCGACCTTTTAATCCATCTGAATCTATCTGCTATCTTGGTCTGTTCATTTCTAGCTGTATTATCTACATATCTACCGATATCTGTCTATATCTGCCTAGATCCATATCTATCCACATAAACCCATCTCTACCTATATCTATATGCCTATCTATCCGTCGAGGGTCGGCAAGCTCAAGTTGCTGACGATTGATAAAGCTTGCAGACGCAAGTGCACACGGTGCCTTGGGTCCTGTTTTTTTGGTTTATGGCCTCGTGGCTTTCCTCACACAGCTATCAGCCAGAAGCAGATCATGTCGGTTTCTGTTTAGTCCGAGTGCTATGTGAGGTTTCATGGTGGGCGTGGTGCTTCTCTTTTTGAAGCTCTCGGGCAAAGCCTGGAGCAGGAGACAGGAATTACTAGCTGCGCAAGGACGACGACGGAGCTATCGTGTCCTCGAGGCCGCTCGTGGCCGCGACATCGGAGGGATCATGCATCAGTTGCTGGAGGACAGGTTGGCGTCAAACATTGCATCTGCGTAAGACCGGCCAATGACAGAAGTCGGCATATGGACAAGTCAGACATAGAGCGCCTTAGACAAGATGTTATAAGTCTGTAGGTGGGTACTCCACGAAGCAGAGTTGCGATGAGCCCTGCTGCAGGCACTCCACAACCCAGCACAGGCACTCCTGGCGACGCCCTCTGGAATCTTGCGTGGGCTCCGCAACCGCCTGTTGACTTCCTGTCTGTGCACCTTGCACTCGTACCTGAGGACAGCGCATGCTCTGCCGCCGTACAGCCTTTTCTTGGCCCTGGATGGAGAGGCAGAGAAGGTCCAGCGCACTCCAGAGTGCCTCAGGGACCCGCTCACGTCTGCCATTCTGCGTGAGTTTCCGAATGAGGCGCTTTTGAAGCCCGACAGCTTGGCTATCTTAGAATGTCTGGCGAGCGAGTACGAGCTGGACATCGCCTCTGTCGAGGCTGCGCATGCGACGAACCGGGAGTTCACCATGCTCAGATCGCGAGGGTGGACCCCGTCGTTGGACTCTGTCTCAGCACGATTTTGCCTGAGACAATCCAACTGGTCCACGCGTGCCGCCGTGCCTTTGCTGGCCAGGCCTCGTCGGCAAGGCAAACCTCGTCGCCGTGGCAAGATGGGGCAGCGTGTTGGTGGGGGACCTTGGCGAGCTTTTACCCACGACAAGGCGCGAGGCACCCGTATGGATCCCACGGCTCTGAGCCGTGAGTACAAGGCCTTGAGTGACGAGGAGTTTGCGAAGTACCGAGACGCTGGGAAGGCGGCAACGGCTGCGCATCAGATGGGTCTCCAGCCTTTTGCACGCGAGCCTGGCCAAGGTCTGCTACGCCTGCCAGCCAGCATGGCAGCTGCAGCGGCCTTGGCGGATGCGCCACAGCCTGGCACGATGACAGCCACTGGCGCCATCGTCGCCACGGACCAAGACGACCGCATGCAGCTGGAGCCTTTTACAGGACCATGACATTATAGTTATCAGAATTATCACATGCACAGATTTCCTAGCCTGATTGGCCTGATAGGCGGTTGAAGAATCAGACTGTCGCGATAAGTCTGAAGGAGCTTCTTTCCACGAGCGCTACAGGCACTTCAAGCGTTCGCTGCCGCGCGAACAGGATGCTCTGGCCCTGAACACTGAAGAGCAAGCACAGCTGCAGTCCTGGCAAGCGGACGTGCCCGAGGAGGGTGTACCCGCAGAGCTCCGCTTCTTGCTTCTGTCTTGGGTAGCGAAGTCATGGTTGATATGTTAAGTGCTCCACCTCTCTCTTGACCCGGAGAAAACTAAACCTTCGTCTGCCTCCATCATTTTCGCTAACTTAGCCCGGATGCCTTGAACATTGGTACCAACGCCCTCAAATCAATGGTGGAAACGCTGCGAAGCCGGATACCCCCCAACACTGTGGGAGAGCGCTTGATTTTGAGTCTTAGGGGTTCGAAAAGGTTTTGTCTCTAGGGCCTTAAACTGTGTTGTCTGAAGGTCTTGGAGAAATTTCTCGGGCCTTTGTAAAGTTTTGAGCTTGTCGAGACAGTTTTCCAAGGGTCATGGCGTTGGAAGCTCGGAGGGTCCAGGGAGTCAGTCTGGCGTCCTGGGGCCTTTACATTTAGAGGCTTCTCCTGGAACATATCCTGAACCTAAACGTCGCTAAACTTCCCAGTGCAACATTCCTGAAGTCAGTTTGGGTCTACATTTTGAAATCGTGAAGCAGTCGTTCGTTTTCACTTTGTCTCGCATGGTCCGGGCCAGACTAGAATTTTCCTTCAGCGCTGATGTTCGCTCTCAGCTCGTTTACATGGTCGGGGCCTGAGCCCTCCGAATTCGCTTAAGGCTTAGGCCTTTCCGCTTTCAGTTCGTCCCGTTTGGTCCGGGCAGAATGTAGAAGGGCTCACGACAACCAGAAGCCGTGCGAATTCTCTCCTTGTCTGTGACTGTGACTGCCGGAGTCATCCGTCAGCTGCGTAGCTTCAGATCCCCTGAGCGAGGCTGATCCAAGAATATTCAGATACCTAGACTCGTGTAAGGTTTGCACATCTGAACCAATAAACTGCATGCTGAGGACTGATGCGAGACCTCCGTGGGTGCGAGCTGTTTCGCCAAGGCATGAACAACAAGACACTGCACGGCTTCTCGTGGCAGCCGCCCGCAGCAGAGCTGACACAGGACAGGCAGATATTTGTTTTTTTTCTCTGGGCTTAATTGAACCCTAAACCCTGAACCCTAAACTTCCTAAACCCTAAACTCTCAAGCAGGGTGCGATGTGCCACAGCGGGCAAGAAGTGCGGAGGCAGCAGAAAACAAATGCGGCGCTGTCTGAAGAGTGGGCTCGTCGACACGGCATCTACTACCACGACTTGCAAGCGAAGATCATGCTGAATCCAGGTGACAGTCGCTGCTGGCAGCTGGGGATGTGCGTCTGCGGCCAGCACCAGGAGTCCTCGAGCGAGGAGTCCTCGCCCGATAGCTGGTTCCTGTCCCTGAATGTGCGTCGCGTGATGGCTGAGATTTTCCGGAAGCAGAAGCCACAGGAATCGCAAGAGCGCCTGCTGCTGCAGGGACATGCCATTGTCCTGCGCTTCGCCGCGAACCCGGATCCACCGGCGCCCAGGACAGAAGTGGACATGGACAGCGAAGGACCAGCTACAGACATCTGGCTGCAGCCAGGGCATGTGCATTTTGGGAATTGGAATTTCACGGCTGTTCAACTGGAGGAAGAGTGGGACTCTGCCTCTCACCTGACCGACGAGACGGTGCGAGTCCTGCAAGCACTTTCTCATTACTTGGACCCGACAGTGAAACGAGTGCGTACTGCAACAAGGCACTACAAGGAGCTGCTGGACTTTGACAAGCCTTGGTGGCTAAGCATATGGCGCATCTCAGAGGTGGAGCTGCACTGGCCCGAGGGTCATTCCTCGGAGGCAGTGCCTGTGGTAGCATGCTGTGAGCCCAGGCAGGTGTGGCGCGGCACACGCGAGGAAGCGATTTTGCGCCAGACGGGGCCAAAGACAGCGCCCTCGCAAAGTGCCGCCGGCCAGCAAAGGACGAAGAGAGCCCGAACTGGCAACGGAGTTGCAGCGACTGCTGCAGCGCAGGATGCCGACCAGTTCATGCTAGCGCCCCCTGTGCTGGCAGAAGGACCCTTCCAAACATTTCCAAACGATAGCTGTAAACGTAGCTGACGTAGACACTGCTGCTGTTTCGTTTTCAATTACTTGGTGTAAGTGTGATTGGATCTCTATTTAGGCCCCCGGGCTGTGCAACGCCCCAGGCCAGCCGGAGAACGTCCAGGAAGCTGTGGACGATGATCTGGCGCAGCTCTTGCCAGATGTTGTGGGCGATAGCAGCGATAGCCAGGAGCACGAGGATGTAGATGCGGCACATGCGTCAGATGGCTCCTCTTCCAGCTCTGCAAGCGGTTCCAGCTCCAGTGGCTCTAGCGACACCAGCGGCTCGTCCTCCGGCAGCGACGATGATGACGAGGACGACGACAGCGGGGTGGCACAGGCAGCCAAAGCTCAGCGAGGAAGGTCCAGCGGAGATGGACCTTTTGCTGGCCCCTGGATCCTGAACACCCGGACTGGCTGTGTTCACAAGGGGGTCTGGCTCCAAGACCGCTGGACAATTGCCTGCAAACCTGCTACGGTCATGCGAGACCACTATGAGCGGTGGACAACCAATCCATGCTATCGTGGATTCACAGCGTGCAGCCACCTGGGCTGTCTAGTGTCGGATTAGTTGATTAGTTGGTCCTGCACAGGCCCTGCCGCGGAACCGCGGAAGCGGGCTTGAACGGACTTGGCCAGAAACCCAAAGCGAAACCTGGAAAACTCCATGAACATTCACCCTGTAGATAGTCGGTTAATTGAACCCGGCAATACCTGTAGTGCCCAGGTTCCCTGGTTGGAAGTTCAGGTTCAAGCAGGATGCTATCGCACAGGGCTCCAACTTGCAAGGCGCAGGGTTGAGGCTCACGTTCCACGAGGCCCCCAACCGCCAGAACCGTCCAGATCCAAACCGCTCCGTAGCATAAGGCATAAGGCTTAGGTTCGAGCTCGGGGTTCTAATTCTATCAGGCCCTTCACCCAGCAGGGAATTGGAAAGCTACATCTCGAAGTGCTCGATGTGTGCTTGTCAGGCACTCCAAGACGCGCAGAGCCTAGCACCCTCACGTAGCCACAACCCTGAGTTCCACTAGGATGCCGAGCCAGGGATGCAACTTAGAAGAGGCTAAAGGGTAGAGGGTAGAGGGTAGAGGCTCACGTCACACAAGGCCCCAAACCCCAAATCGCTTATCCGTTCCGAGGACTGCAGGCCCAAACAGCACTCCCAGACGACTAGTGGTAGCCTAGCACCTCCAGGGCCCAAAGCCCCAAGATCCACTATTTCGTTAGGGAAAGGGATCCAATGCGTTCAGCAGTTACGGCGTAACGGTTCACAAGGCGGCGGTTCATACCTAATAGGCCCTTCAACTCCACAATCCAGCTCAGAACCTTTGAGACTCTGTCTTGGTAATCACGAGGCCCCCCCCGAGTTCAACTAGATAGCCTTACCCGTCCTATAACCTTACCTGTAGCCGGGCCCTCGCTTTATGGAACACTTATGGAAAGACCCCCGAATCATCACACCCAGACCCTAGACAGCTGGGTCTCCAAGCTACCCTAAAGCCCCAAGCTCCACGACCGCAACGAACAAAACAAGGCCCGGAACTCCAAACTCCAGCTGTGAAGCCTGTGAGATCGTGATGACACTGCGTCGTGGCAAAGTGGTGGCCATAGGCAATGAACATTTCGTTTCGTGCGACGGCGGCAAATCTCGCAGCCCAGCTAACCTTAACATCCACAATCAGCTGGAAAACTCCTTGAGCCTGAGATCTGTGGGTTCAGGAGATGCGGTATGGCAGGTCGAACCTTGAACCCTGAACCCTGAACTCTCCGCACACTACAACCCCAAGCTGCTTAAACAGCAAATCCCAAGACCACGTTGCAGGTGCTATTGCGTCTTCTTCCGCCAGGACCAGTACAGCCGTGACGACGTCAAGGAATTCAAGAGCACGTGGCAGGCTCGCGGACTTGCGCCGGCTTTTGGGCAGGTGCATGATTTTGGAGTGTCCATCCGAGATTAGCTAGTAGGGACTCTCTGATGCTCAAGTGTCCTTTCCCCCGGCAACATGGTTTCTGTGTTGTAGGTTCTCAAATTCTGAAGCTCACTCCTCCTTAGGGTTTGCTTGTACTCTCTTCATGTAGTGAATTTTTCATGCAGTGTTTACAGTAATAACCGAGTATAATCGGCTCCTACCCTATAATACTATAAGCTATAAACTATGGACTTTGTATGATGTTGACCCAAGTAGCAAGGAAGAGGAAGTACAAGAAGTACAAAGGGTACTAAGGATAATACCCTAGGCTCAGGCAGCAGTTGCGTTGCGGATGATATGTGTGTCTCACGAGAAGGATTCTTACGTTCCCGTACAGCTCATTTCAGCCTAGGCATGCAGGTTTCAGCACAGTTTTGTATAATTCATCTAGCTCGACGAACATACCAGGTATTCGCTTTACGTATATGTTTTGGCAGTCGCGCTTGATTCTATACGTGTATATGCGCAGTTACTGACAAACTCTTCAATGGAAGACTTGGGATGGGTATTGACCGGCAAAGGCAAGGCCACGCATCCTCCTCGAGTTGTCAAGATATCCACCAAAAACCTCAAGTCCTGCCTGCCCTCTCCTATGCCGATCAAGCTGCAACAAAACATCGACAGTCGACGATCCCAAAACGCGACAGACACAGCACATCGCGAACTAAACACAAAAGCTAGAAAGCCTCGCAAAATTAGGCTCCTGACAACTAGAATTATAACTGCGTGCACCCCTTGCAAGGTTTGTTCGCTCGGGTTGGAGAACTGTTGTAATGTTGTTGCACGTTTTGGGGGATGAATATAGTCTTAGCCGCTGAAAGCAACAACGCGAAGA